GTCCTACAAAATACTAAGAAGACATCAGTTTGTGCGCTCGATGCGAAGGAAGCTTTGGCTCGAGTGAGACACATTAAGCAATATACGCGTAGTGGTTCATCGCCCTCCGAGCGAGAGATCCTTCGCTCGAGATGACCTTCGCGGCCCTGTTTTCTATAAATATATGTTTGTGGTCTAGTTTTAGGTTACAAACTTCCAGATCTTCGTTTGGTTTTTTTGGGCTCTTTTGCAGTTCTTTGATGTATTGAATTTGAGTATTAAGTTCAATGGATTGGACAAGCATACATCAAAGGGTTGATTGTTTATCTTCAAGAGTTGTTTCTTTCTTCGGTGGAATCCGAAGATTCAGCGTGGAGTATCTTGTGAGATTTGATGCTCATGCGCAGTCGTTGATTCGACAATGAGGTGTTGTATTTCAACATCAATCCTAACTCAATTCCTAAGACGAAGGTTGCGGTGAAAGATTACAGATTCGTGAAGACAAAATTGATCCAGTATTGCGTAATTTGTTTGTAAATTTATATTCTTTCTTCCTTTACATAGTGGAATTGATTTTTTAACATTTCGTCTGTGGTTTTCTTAATCACAATTGGACGTTGCTGCAATTGTGCGTTTTTCCACGTAAAAATCTCTTTATGTTGATTTATTATTTTTTTGAAAGCACAATCATAAATACACTTTCGTATGTGCTAGATGATTTAGATTGTTAGTTTTAATCATTTGGGAATTGGTTACAATAATCCTTGATGGATTAATCACAATCACTTAGGTTTTCATTGGTATCAGAGCGGTCACTTTTTTTTTTTATCAAACATAGGAGAGTGATTTGTCTGATTTGGTGATATGGATTTCAATTCATGTGAAGGATAACTCGCCCATAGAGGCTCGCGTTACTTGATGTACAAACTATTCTTATTGGAGGCTTGTTGAGAGCAATTTTTAAATCTATTCAATGAAAAGTTTGCACTGTGTTGATCTATGATGGAGTGAACCTGTTTGTCACATTGATTGGATGTTGATATCCCCAAACCTTTTGATAAATGGGACACATTCGATTATCAAAACTCAGTGGAATAGTAAGCTTCTCAATTCCCCCTTTTGCTCCGTCACATCAGAAGAGTTTCATTGTATTTGCACGGTGTGAGGGTAACAAAAAGAGGCTTGGGACATTCTTGAAAACTATTCGTGGGGTACTACTATTATGTAAAAGATAAAACTTCACGTTCTCACCTCCCTTTTGAAACTCTTTTTATGCGGTGATGATTGAGACATTTGATGACTTTTTATGCTTAAACTTAGTGACATCGTGAGTCCTGTTTCTACTACGATAAAAAAGCCCTGAAGATAAGGTACTGGAAAATTTTTGAGGTCTTTACCCGAGAGGTTCCAATCAAAAGTTATTAGCTATTGAGGAGGCTCCAGGATGTTGATACTCTCAAGCTTGATTAGTTTTGTGTGGAACTCTTACAGCTTATGAACCACCAGATTTTTCTGAAGGAAAAAAACAAAAACAGCGTGGCTTTTACAGTGCTCATGAGATTGCTAGACTCCTAAGATGAGTATTGATCTACAGTCTGAAATGACGGCTCATGTTTACCAACATTTCAAAAAAATTAAATAAAAAGAAGCCTTATTTCAAGGACCCTAGTTCAAAGATAAGGTAATAAACAAACCCAAAACTTTTTCAACCTAAAGTTGCTCCAAAAACTTGAAAGAAGACTGTGAGGGGCAAGGTGTCAAGTGCTGAACGAACTTTTTTTGAAGGGGTGTTGGTCATATGCCTCTTGACTTGTCCACGAAA